ATGTGAGAACTTTCAACTTGCACTCAGGCACAGCAGAGCACATGTTTGTTGGACTTTGCATGATTTGCATGCAAAGGTCCCTGGCGCAATCCCCAGCATCTCCAGGTAACACTTCTCCTGTCTGAAACCCTGGATTGCTGCTGCTGCCGCCACCAGTCAGTACAGTGTTGACCAAATTGGGCTAGGTTGGTCCATGATCTGGCTCGCGTTTGAAGAATGTTTGTACAAGGGTTATCCAGAACTTGTGAGCACCAGCAAAGTCTTATACCAGTTAGTAAATTATCATAGGGCCTTTCAGACACATTTAGCAGTATATGGGACCGAATTGTCTAGATCTGTCCTACATGCTTCACAAATGATGCCTCGCAATTAAGCCAGTATCATTCAACTCCTCGGCCTGTTCCATCGCTCTCTGGGGCAAGCGGCTAACTATTGGCCTGTGCAGATGTTTTCTTTTTGTCCATACCTCCCCAGAAATTAGATGATAGATAGATAGATGATTGGTAGATAGATAGACAGACAGACAGACAGACAGACAGATATGGATCATGTCTCTCCTAATATGCAAAAATATCTTATGCCCATGGACTGAAATGCCCATCTCCTTAAATCAAATGCATATAACCTATCAATTATGCTGAAGGATTTGTATTTCCCTTTTCATTTTTGGAACGAAACATTCGGGGCATCTTATATATGTAATTTAAAAACTCTGAACAATATAATGGTCATTATATTTAACTTTAAGGATTGGTGCCAGAATTTGCTTCTTCACCACCCCCTCTTCCCTCCCCCCTTTTTCCTTTAGTGTTGTGCTTTGAGTTGTGAGCCTGCAAGCAGGGTCTGGTTTCAAGCAATGCTGGGAGCCTTTTTGGATGAAGAGCAGGGTAAAAAAAATATGCTTCCAATAAATAAATGTACAATTAATTTTACAAATATACTAATAAAATAAACGACAAAAGAAGACATGCACACGCAAATGACACAATGTAAAGGCAACAATATGTACAAGGTTTTGTCTGAAGTTAGTTTGAATGGCTTTGGAGAGCTCTCCTCTTGCAAAACATTTGTTGTGAGTGAGTGCCAATAACATTAGCAAACAGTTTTCAGGTTGTTTGTTTGGGTTTGCTTGTTCTTTCTCCATATCTCAACTGATTCCGCCCCCCCGCCTAAAAACACATCTTGAGGGGGTTTAAATGGCCATCTCAGGTAAAATCTGCACAGGCATTTTGATGGAAATTAAAATGATCCCAATTAGATTCACAAAATTTCTCATGGGAGTTTCTTCTTTTTATCAGCACTGAGATGAGAAAACCCAATGCAGATTCAGGAACTATGTCTTTCACTGATCCCATTGGGCTTTGGGCCAAAGTAGACATTAGACCCTGGAAGCCTGTGTGGTTTCATTGGTTTTGATTTTCAGTGAAAAGCATCTGTGGGAACCCTGTGACTGGAGGAAGGGGAACAGATGCCATTTGTTGGCTAAAAACACCCCAAAACTGTTTTTCCCTCCCCAGGGTCCACATATATTTACCTCCCCTTTTGCAGAGCCCCCATATATTTCCCTCTGTTGGTTGAAAAGCAACGGGGTGATTTCATAGACAAAGGGCAAAAAGGGAAAGGGGGAGGGAGACCTGTGTTTAGTTTTAAAATGGCCATGTTTCTTCCTCTAGCACACAAAGGAGAAGGTGAAGGGAGCATGGAGGTCTCAGACTCTTCATGTCTGAGTTATGAATTGGAAAACTATGATTTCCCATTATGTCTGAACCATGCAATGAAATGGGAGCTATAATGATCCAGTGGGCAAGGTGTTGATCAAGGACCTGGAAGAGTTTTAATTCTTCATTCAGTCTCTATGATATCTGGACAAAGCTAGCAGGTAGTCTTCCATGAGCCTGACTTTTTCTTTACACTTCCTTCTCTTGAGCATGCATTCAGCAGAAGGGATGGAAAAGATGGCACAGGTTTGGGAAATCTGCAATTTGCAGAGACAAAGTTCCCCACATGCCATTTCCCCTAAGGAACTGCAGTGCGGAAAATGGCATATGGCGAACTTTGTATTTGCAAATTGCAGAGTCTGGCTAGAGTCTGACCATTCCCAATTAAAAATAAATCCATTAACTCACTCTGACCCAGTGGCTCTCATTGCACATCTCCTACATTTGTTGCACACACCCGCATGGCATGCTCAGAACATTCCACAACATAGCAGAAACAGGAAATAGCACGCATGTGCAAAATTGCATGAGACACCATGAGCTTTTGAATCACATCCATTTTTTCAGTGGTGCAACAAACTTTCTTGCGTTGGGGGAAGGGAGGCAGAAATCAAGGAAACTTCATCCTGTGGAGCCATTAGTTTTCAGTTTCAGCACCATATGCATTCCTCAAGGGAGCTTTGTGAACAAACTATAATTTCCAGAGTCAGTCAAACTCCTTAAATACAATAAAAGTGTGAAAACAACATGCAAAGAGAAGGGGGGATCACTTTATGTTTAAACATGTTTTAAAACATCTATCAGGAACACTTGCGCCTGAGGAAGTATAACATAGTTATAGTTTCTAAAACTCTAACCCAGGAACAGGGTCATTGAAGACAAGACTCCTCTGAAGCGAAAGGCTTAAGCAATGCACCTAAGGCAGTTTTACACAATCATTTTTGAACAGAATAACTATATAGGTGGCATCTGTCACCCACACAATCCTAAAAGCAAAGAATGAATTGCTTTCTTTTCTATGTTTTAAAAAAATGGAGGGGGGGACCCTCCATAAATCCATAAACGGAGCCAAGGAAATATCAAATCCATTAAAGGCATTCTAGTAGAAATTCACAGCATGCCTTCTATTTAGCTGTTGCCAGCTAAATAGCTTTCAAATCATATAGCAGCCAAATTATAGACAAGAAAACTTAAAATATTGACCTTGTTGAAGTTTAGTTTATTTCCCAAGTTTATCTCAAAATGTCTGTGACAGCAAAATAGCACAAGCCTAATATTTTTATTTGGATCTCCCAGTGTGGGACATGATTTGAGATAGATGCTTCAAAAAAAATTGAGGATAATATTGCTAAAATAATTAAGGTCATCAATAAGAAGTTATTTAAACACATTTGTAGCAGGAGGCCATCTAGTGATATAGTGAGACTCTTAGATGAAAAGCAAGTCAAAGGTGGATTCAAGGAAGATAAGGAGATTGAGGAGAAGCTGAATGAATTCTTTGCATCTGTCTTCACAGTGGATGATAAAGGACAAATCTCAGTGCCTGAACTAACTTTTGAAGGAAGGGAGTCGGAAATTTAGGCAGATAGTAGTGCTGAGAGATGAAGTTGTAGGCCTATTAGACACAATAGAAACTGAAAAATTGCCAGGTCTGGATGGCATCCACCCAAGAGTTCTCAAAGAATTCAAAGGTGAAATTGCTGATCTGGTGGCAAAGATATGTAACTTGTTCCTCAGATCAACCACTGTACTTGAATTGAAAGTAGCCAATGTAACACCAATTTTTAAAGAAGAGATCCAGTGGATACTGTGGAAATTAAATGCCAGTTGGCTTAATGTCTGTTCCAGGAAAACTGGTGGAAAGTATTGTTAAAATTAAAATAACCAAGCATATAGAAGAACAAGTCTTACTGAAGCTGAGCCAGCATTGCTTCTGCAAGACAAGTTCTGTCTCCCAAATCTGTTAGAGTTCTTTGTTAGTTTCTGTTTCTCACTGAGCAGCTGCTGGGAGTCACAGGACTCTGTTTACATTCCAGAGACCTTCCAGTCTCACGGGAAAGGAGACGGGATGTGACATTAGTGGTTTCCTGTTTCCTTTGTTCCTTTGTTTCAGTTACTCTCTGCTCTCACAGGGAGAAGATGTATATTTCTTTGCTCTCTGTGTAGCTAGAAAATAAAGCATAGCAATGTAGCCATAAATGTCATCACTTCCACGTGCTGTTTTGATGCTCTGCTGGGACGATGTGCCTGAGGCCTTATCAAAGGATCAGGTCGTCAATTAATCGCCGGGAGGCGATTCCGAAGATGAGCCTTATCAGCTCGGTCGAATGGAGATGCCGACACTTTGAGTGTGACAACAAGCTTAAAGAAGTGATCCAATTGACATAATGTACTGTTCTGGTTGCCTTACCTCAAAAAGGATATCGTAGAGCTGGAAAAGATTCAGAAAAGGGCAACCAAAATGTAAGGGGAAGGAGCAACTCCCCTAACAAGGAAAGGTTGTAGCTTTCAGTTCAGAGAAAAGGCAAGTAAGAGATGAGATGATATAATGATGCATGGCACGGAGAAAGTGGATAGAGAAAAGTTTTTCTCCCCCTCCAAGAACTGATGAACATGAAGCCAAATGTTGGGAGATCCAAGACAAAAGAAATGAAGTCCTTCATGCAGCACATAGTTAAAATGTGGAACATGTTTCCACAGGTGGCGGTGATGGCCACCAACTTGGATGACTTTAAAAGAGAATTGGAAAAATTCATGACTACTAGGCTATTTTCTAGTTCCATTTTCAGATGCAGTATGCTGGGAATTGCAGGTGGGCAGAATGCTCTTGTGCTCATGTCCAGCTTTCAGGGTTCCCATAGGCATCTGGTTGTCCACTGTGAGAACAGGATGCTGGGCTAGAAAACAGGAGTAGAAAACAGAGGAGTCCATTAGTAAAGCAGGTTGCTGTTGTTGTTGTTGTTGTTTAGCCGTTTAGCCGTGTCCGACTCTTCGTGACCCCATGGACCAGAGCATGCCAGGCACCCCTGTCTTCCACTGCCTCCTGCAGTTTGGTCAAACTCATCCTGGAAGCTTTGAGAACACTATCCAACCATCTCGTCCTCTGTCGTCCCCTTCTCCTTGTGCCCTCCATCTTTCCCCACATCAGGGTCTTTTCCAGGGAGTCTTCTCTTCTCATGAGGTGGCCAAAGTATTGGAGCCTCAGCTTCACGATCTGTCCTTCCAGTGAGCACTCAGGGCTGATTTCCTTAAGAATGGATAGGTTTGATCTTCTTGCAGTCCATGGGACTCTCAAGAGTCTCCTCCAGCACCATAATTCAAAAGCATCAATTATGGTGCTGGAGGAGACTCTTGAGAGTCCCATGGAGCAGCAGGTTACCAAGACTCATACAATGCAGCGGAATGTGAAAATCTGACCTAGTTTATTAATTGGTGGCTTTTTTTTACCGAAGTAGCTCTAAGCAACTTACAATATAAAAAAGGGATACAGGTGGATACAGGATTCAAAGCAGGAATGGGTGTAGTATATGGACAAAACAAGGGTCAGGAATTCAGAAAGCAGAGCACCATGAACTCTGAACTTCACGTTCCCGGCAAAGAAAGAAGTAACAAGGCAAGGCATGAAGCGAGACACAACTTGCACAATCAAAGCCCACATCCACACCATGCTTTCCACCTGTCAGCACCCTTCACGAACTACAGTTCCCATGATTCATTGGGGCAGCCATGACTGTTAAAATGGTGTAATGGTCCTTTAAATGTATGGTGGCGTTGTGTCCAAGGTTCAAATGGATGTGATGCAAACCAGTGAACTGTGCATGGCAATACAGTGGTACCTCGGGTTAAGTACTTAATTCGTTCTGGAGGTCCGTACTTAACCTGAAACTGTTCTTAACCTGAAGCACCACTTTAGCTAATGGGGCCTGCCGCACCGCCACAGCACAATTTCTGTCCTCATCCTGAAGCAAAATTCTTAACCTGAAACACTATTTCTGGCTTAGCGGAGTCTGTAACCTGAAGCGTATGTAACCTGAAGCGTATGTAACCGGAGGTACCACTGTATAACCAACAGGACAGCAAAGCCATTGCAGCAAGACACTCTAGGAATTTACGGTCTTTGGTTTTGCTCATTTTCTGGTTTGTTTTTAATCCCACCCTTTCACCCTCCTCAGGTGGGTGGATTCTGGGTGGATTCTGCCTCACTCTCCTATCGGCCTCGGCCCAGTATACCTGAAGGAGCGTCTCCACCCCCATCATTATGCCTGGACGCTGAGCTCCAGCGCCAAGGGCTTTCTGGTGGTTCCCTCACTGTGAGAAGCAAAGCTACAGGGAACCAGGCAGAGGGCCATCTCAGTAGTGGCGCCTGCCCTGTGGAACACCCTCCCATCAGATGTCAAAGAGATAAACAACTACCTGACATTTAGAAGACATCTGAAGGCTTCAGGGAAGGCTTCATCTGAAAACTTCAGGGAAGTTTTTAATGTGTGACATTTTAATGTATTTTAAATCTTTCTTGGAAGTCACCCAGAGTAGCCAGGGAAACCCAGCAAGATGGGCAGGGTATAAATAATAATAATTTGTTGTTGTTGTTGTTGTTGTTATCATGGAGACTGCTGCTGCAGGTGTGGCAAAGGGCAGAGACCGAACTTTATCAGAACAAGCCATGCCTTATACTACTCATCATGAGAAAGTTGTGGGGATGAGTAGATGAGGGCAGTAAAAGGAGTGTGCAAGAGTGCCAAATGAGGGAAGGCAAGGGAAGGGGTAAAGTTGATGAGCAAGGTGGCAGGAAGTAGGTTAAGGTTCGGGGTGGTAGAAGAAATTGGGGGGAGTTAGATCTGTTGAGTTGAGTTTATTTACATTTCTCATATTTCTTAAGAACAGTTTACCTATACAGTGGTACTTCAGTTGTCCAATGTAATCCATTCCGGAAAACTGTTCGACTTCTGAAACATTTGACAACCGAGGTGCAAATGTCTGCAAAGTCTGCAAAGTCAATGGAGAAAAGGGGGGGGGACACAATGGAAGCCGTTCGACTTCCGAAGCCCATTCGAAAACAGAAGCAATTACTTCCGGGTTTTCAGCATTCGAAAACCGAAATGTTCAGCTTCTGAGATAATCAAAAGCCGAGGTACCGCTGTACCTGCATCTGGGGGTGGAGGAAGGATTGATTATTATTATTTGGCTGCACAAAAATCCAATTTTACCTGATATGCGTACTTCTGCAAGGAATCGCCCCTAATTTGGTGTGGTTTTGTATGTTGTTTTCACCACTGTGCACATTTCCTGAGTGTGCACTTTCCCTGAGTACACACATTTTTGGGTGCCGCCATTGTTCCTGGAGAACTGCATCACAAACCCAGAGAAGTTCAGAGGGATAGCTGCCTTTTGGTTCACACCTTGGCTTAGGAAGTGTGAATTAGGAAGGTTTGTCTTAAAATGCAAATCAAATAAATTTGTCCCATGTCCCTAGCAGAAAAAGAGTCCTGGGTGGGGGAAGGCTGGAATTCCCATCCCCAAATATCACTGATCTTATTCATGGAATTTCATAAGTGATTGTTCTGGTTCATATAAATGAAACTGGCATGTTTTCGCGAAAGGAATGTTTTTTAAACAAAAATATTACTAATTAAATCCATTTCCCCGACACTAGACTTTTACAGCTCTGGTTTGTCTGTTTCCCTTTATGTAGCCGCTAGTCATTCCACTGTTGTTGTTTTTTATATGCCCTCCACTCTGCTTTCAATCTTCTTCATATTTCTATGAGTTAAAGAGAAAACAGAGCTGATTATTGAGACAGTAACATATATTTGTGTTCTTAAGCGGGCAGCAGTGGAGCCAGAAGATAATAGACACCTCATTTATTCAGGCTTTCAATAAACATATTTAATTCCCAGTGACAGCTGTCTTTGCCACATTAGCATTGCAAATCATCTCCGTTTTGTAATGGCCTTCTATTGAGCATGATTCAATTATGTGTGATCCATAGCAAAGCAACATAAGGCCTTACTATCTATAGCTAGATTTCTGTAAGCGGCTGCTCTTTACACTGCTTGCATTTAAGCTAGCTGTTTACAACAGTGCTTTCCTTGAACTACGCTGAACTCTCTGCACTTCCCAGCTAAATAAAGTAAAATTAATATAATTTGTAAAGCAAGTGTATGTGTAGACATTGCATGCCTGACATTCTTTGCATACGCATTCACGGAGAAAACACTTGTTAAGCCAATTGCTTGTTTCTAGACTTAAAACATTCACAATATGAAGCCAGTGAAGGGTGGCATCACACTCAGAAGTAGTGCTTTTCTTCTCAGAGAAAAAGGTGCCAGTACTGCGTACCTTTGAGTACTTCCCCCCCCAAAAAAAATCACTGCCCAGAAGTGACAGTGGTCCTTCCCCTTACTCTGTTTCTGTGTGTAAGTGAGAGGAGGGGAGAGATTTGCTGAAGTGGGATTTTTCATGTTTATACTTTAAAGAAAACAATTGTTGCAGCATGGTTGTGATCAGCTCCTGTCCCTAAAAGTTCACTACAGTTATACCTTGGATCCCAAACGCCCTGGAACTCGGACGTTTTGGCTCCCGAATGCCACAAACCCGGAAGTGAGTGCTCCAGTTTACGAATGTTCTTTTTGAACCCGAACGTCCAACGGGGCTTCCGCTGCTTCTGATTAGCTGCTGGAGCTTTTTGCAGCCAATCAGAAGCCGCGATTTGGTTTCCGAACGTTTTGGAAGTTGAGCGGGCTTCCGGAACGGATTCCGTTCGACTTCCAAGGTACGACTGTATTAAACAGGACTGGCCCATCCAGCAGTGGAGTGTGTCTTCAAGGTGCCTGGCGCGGGCACACCCGGGCAGGGCATGGTGTGGAGGGCAACATGAGGAAGACACAACAGGACAGGCACGTGCTCTTCCAATGATTTGAAGGGCACATTCCTGTTGCGTCTTCTTGACAATGCCCTGCCAGCCCCACGCTGCTTTGCGAGGCTGTGGGATCGGACTCTCAAAGCAACGTGGGGCTGGCAGGGGCAGTGTGAGGAGCCAAATGCGCCCTCAAGAAAACTGCACCCGGGGCAACAACCCCCCTCGCCCCACCCCCACTATGCCTCTGGGCCCACCCATGAGGTGGAGTGTGGCAGCCGCTTCGAGCAGGAGAAGTCCAAGAAGAAGAAGACGAAGAAGAGTTTGGATTTGATATCCCGCTTTCTCACTACCCGAAGGAGTCTCAAAGCGGCTAACATTCTCCTTTCCCTTCCTCCCCCACAACAAACACTCTGAGGTGAGTGGGGCTGAGAGACTTCAGAGAAGTGTGACTAGCCCAAGGTCACCCAGCAGCTGCATGTGGAGGAGCAGAGACGCGAACCCGGTTCCCCAGATTACGAGCCCACCGCTCTTAGCCACTACACCAATAGGCAGCGCCTTTATTGCTGCCAGTGGAGAAGTGGCACCAGTTTCCATCAAGAAACAGCACTGCTGCAGATGCTTTGCAGGTGCTGCCACACAACACAGGTAAGGGGAGGCCAGCAAGGTGGGGAAGCACGTTCCTTCAGATCCTGGGCTGCAACCTTTTTTTGCTGGCCAAAGACCCTAGACCAGAGGTTGTCCACCTGGTCCCTACCGCCCACTAGTGGGCGTTTCAGGATTCTAGGTGGGCGGTAGGGGGTTCTACAGCACAAGCTGAATCCTCCTTCCACCGAGCACTGGTGGGCAGTAAGGAAATTTTACCGTCAAGAAAGATGCGTTAGTGGGCGGTAGGTATAAAAAGGTTGACTACCCCTGCCCTAGACAGTCATCATGGGGAGCGTGGTTTGGGAACGTTTTCCTCCACCTGAGGAAAGGCGTGAAGGAAGATGAGTGGGGCAAGTCCTTTTAAAGGTCTCTGCCCCTTGCCCCTTGCTGCGCCATATGAGGCCTAGTGCCTGCTGTGATCTTGTGAGGGCAGAATCTCCTCCCACCCTCCGGCCACGACAGCTGCCATGCCACCCCACAGCCAGACGTTGTTGACAAGCTCACTGGCTAACAATTTTGTTGACGTCATAATGATTAAAGTCAGGGAAGGGGAAGGTTATTGGCTACCACCGGAGAGTCCTTCTGTGGGTTCAGCTGCCTGAATTTTACGACAAAACTGGAATAATCACAACGAAAAGGTGTACTAACTCTCTCTACTGCTCTCTGCACTGGGAATCCCAAGTAGTTGCATGTGTCAGGATTCCTGACAGTAGCATCCTGTGGAAGCCTTTCATAGGATCATAGAATTGTACCATTGGAAGGGACTCTGAGGGTCATCTAGTCCAACCCCCTGCAATGCAGGAATCTCAACTAGATCATATATGACAGGTGGCTGTCTAACCTCTGCTTAAAAATCTCCA